CCCTTCAAAAAAAAGTCATCTACTTCATATTGCTTGATTTTCTAAGTTGGAGACGGCTGCTCCCTAGGACAGGCTCATTAGTGCATTTTCTGCTTATAAAATTATCTCAAAGCTGAAGCTTCACCCCCACGTTACTTCATCTTGGTAATTTGATTTTTTTTTAAAAGAATCCATTTAAAAAGTCAGCAGGTTCTTTTAAATAAATGAACCAAGTGACCACTTATCCCTGCGAAATAGGAGGGTCACAGTGTGGCCTGATGATTATGAAAATTTGGAAATTAATTTACTTATTCAGAGCAGGGACATTTTCTGATTTTAATGTTTAATTTTTGTAGAGTGCAAATCCATATGACTATAAATAGAAGTGGCTACGGTAAAAAAATTTGTCATTATTCTTATTTCTCTTGGTAGTCTTTTAGGAGAAGAAAGCGTCCATTTAAACAGTGCCAAATCACAGAGAATCGTCTTGATAAGATTTCTTGAGTTTGTTCATCTGTAATTCCTCTGTGTATTTACTATTCTCCTTACTAATAAAGCTGCTCCTTCTGATTGCTGCTCAGTCTTATTAGAAAAATCTGTTTTTAATCAGTATTATGATTTAATTATGAATTATTAAGAAGAAGCCTCTTAGCTTGATTGCTGCAGAGAATATCTAAGTCAGAATCAGAGCACTGTGTGGGCTGAAACGGACCTGGAAGAGGAAATATTTTTCCTAAGCTGGAGGTAGAAAACTCTAATGGTATGTCTGGATGGCTGTGGGAATGAAAATGTCTCTCTTAAAACGTTTTAAAAGGTCAGCTACACCTCCACACTATGAACTAATTATATAATCCTGTGTTGGCATGGATATTTTGTGACAGAAGCCTGGAAGATAAATGATTATTTTCAGTTACCAAAGAGAATGGATTTAATTTTTTTCTCTTCTGTTTTATTCCCAAAGAAAATAAAATAATTTTTCTGAGGAGAAATGTCTAGTATATAAAACTGTATGTTTTATTAATAAATATCGCTCTGCAGTATATACGTGTCCAAGGATGTAGCTCATTTGCAGCTTCAGAAATAGCATTTATTAAAGAAAACAGACAAGTATTTTCTCCTTCAAGGTTTTATTCTCATGGATCTGGGAAAGGACTGATATTAAAAACCCGCTGTGAGAGTCATCATTCATCAGTTTGCCATTTTAAAGTACGACATGTATGGGGGCCTGTGAATATAACATCCCAGGAATATCTGTGCTACCTGATAAATTCAGCTGTGCCTCCGGTATACGATTACTGGGCAGAACTATGGGTGTATTAATTGTAAAGGACTTGCGTTAACAGAGAAATAAGGAAATCGTGTATTTTTAGATCCTTTTAGATCCTTTTTCACTACGTTGTGCTTCGTATACAATGAATGATGATGTCGATGATTATTATCGTTATTATTATTAATCCATGAGATCTTTTACTCCTCTCGCACCATACGTGGGTGCCTTGCCCCAAGCCTTCGCTCAGGAAGGACTAGGTGGGCTGATGCTGCGTAACTCTGCTTTCCAGATCCCGTTCCTGGCGGAAGGCATCCGGATCCACGGGGAGAAGGTGACGGAGGCGCTGCGGCCCTTCCACGAGCGGATGGAGGCTTGCTTCAGGCAGCTGAAGGACAAAGTGGAAAAACAGTATGGCGTCCGCGCTGTCGTAAGTGACCTGCTAACTTCATGTTTCCTCAATATGTGGAATTTCTTCAAATTACAGGCAACTGTGTATTTCGGTATTATAATTGCCACTGATTAAAAAAGCGATGTTGGTGCAGCATTGCCTGGTTGTTGTCAGTGGTCATCAAGTTATTAAACACTGAGCAGATGCTCTAAGAGAGGTTCAGAAAGCCTTGGTACTTCTGTTTTCTCTCATGGGAACAATTTCTAAATTGCCTGAATCTGTTCCCTGAAAGTCAAGATACTTCTTAAGTATTCCAATTTTAAGGAATTGGGTTTAAAAAAAAAAAAAAAAGCCACTATAGCATGTTTTTTCTGGAGCTGAATGTCACCTTTCCGTAGATATAATTCCTTTGGAGATGTGAGGGCTGTGCTGCTCTACCATAGTGTGCACTCTTACCTACGCTGGCACCACCCTAATGTAGGCTGGCAATTAAAAGATAGCTGCTACTTAATGAGATTTAGTACTGCTGGAGTTCATGCTTTTCTCATTCCAACAAGCTATTTTCAGTTGCTGCTTCATCTTTAAGGCACAGCCAAGAATTTGGTGGTTTTTTCCAGTGGGGTTTTGTTCTGCTTTTAATTTGAGAGTTACCCATCGGGGAGGAAGGCCAAAAGCCAGCATGCAGCCTCGTTAATTCAGAATATAATTGATAATTCAGTCAAAAGCCATGTGGATTGAGTGCTATTATATGATCAATTTTTAAAATTATTTATAAACCTGAGATGCAAGAGGTTAGAGTTACTCTAGGACTGACTATGTGGAGCTGATGTCCTAATAACATATGAAAGGCTGCCAGGCTGAGCTTTATCTCTGCCTACTGGTAATCCTGACAGCAGAGTTGTAAACATGCTACAATTTTTAAGTTTATTTGTGAAACGACAGTAGCACATGAAACTTGCGCATGAAGTCTGTATCTTCTCAGTGCTCCAGCAGATAAAGTGCATGGATTTACCAGAAAAGGCCCATGTGTCCGGTAAAGGCCGAGGCAGCCTTGCTCCACGCAGAGCCAGCCCTGAGGTGGCTCGGCAGCCCCCCACCTCGGCACGGGGACCCCACCCCGCGCCCCGGCAAGGAGGATAGCACCGCAGGGTGCCGTGGTGGCAGCAGCCTGTCCTTGGCACATCGGAAGTGCCAGGAAAGTCTGGGTGTCCCCCTTCTTTGCTGCAAAGATTTTTAGCTCAACTTGGAATCGGCAGATCTACTCGCTGTTGAGTTGCCGCGTTTGTTCTGGTTCAACATATGTAATTAGATTTCCAGCTACAGCACTTAGCCAGTTTTTAGAGAAAATTTTACATGTGGCCTGTAACAACATACGATTTATCGCCAAGTGAGCAAATGGTGTGGTATCATTCAGGACGATATGCATTTTCCCCAAATCGTACTCAAGAATATCCTATACCAGAAACCATTTCCCACAGAAGGGACTGGTATTAAAACCAAACCATCTAGAGAAGCAGTAATTTAGTTTTAAGATTGCACAGATCCACTTTCTGTCACCAAAAGCCATCTAAAACCAAAGGAAATCACCATTAGACCATTAATTACTGGGCTGTGGTGCGGGAAAGCTGGCTTGCCAGCCTACACATCGGACTGCTGTCTCGTCTCCATCCCTGACTTTCCCTGGCACCCTGGAAGCAGATAAGGAGCTTGCACTGTAATCTCATTAACTGCCTTTTAACAAGAAAGCCAGTTAGCAGGTCCCAGCAGGCGAAGGACATGGCATCAAATAGCAGGTGCTTCCCCAAATTGTGCGGTTGCCCCAGTTGGGGTTGGGACATCATTCCTGGAGGTGCTGCATCAATTAGTGTGTGTATTGAGGCAGCTGTTACCTCATGGGCTCGGATTTTGAAGGTTATCTCTGCAGCCATGAGGGTAAAAACATCTACAGTTGTGTTTTTTGTCTTGTCTAAAGCACAGCTGCACAGAGAGGAGATCATAGAGAAAATGGTGTCCTTTTCATGCCCTTCCTGCCTTCCCATCCTTAAACCCTCCAAGGCAGGATTATCAGATGGGACCTCCATCACAATCTCGTCCTTAATAACTTAAGAAATAAAAGATTGAGAAATAGAAAAAAAAAAAAATTGGTAACAATTACAACTTCATCAGTTTTACTTCTGCCCCTAAATAAGTGGCAGTCACTAAACTGATTCTAAAAGAATGAAGCAACCGAGACATGACTGACCAGCCTTAAAACAACCCTCTCTTCATCCAGTTCTGATTATGGTCACTAATGGGTGCACGCCATTGAGTTTATGGATGTTACGCCAATCACATCAATATAAACAAGGTGTGAATTTGGTTCCAAATTATCCCTGGAAAATCCCACAGATGTTTATTCTGAAGAGTGGCTGACACAGGATATGGTGAAGGAGAGAGCTTCAACTTTCAGCTCAGTGAGATGCAGAGCATCCTGGACCAAGGAGACGGCAAGAGCGATGCTGCAGCAGGCAGGGCAGAAAAACGTGCCAAGTGATGTTGTTCTCTAAGTGCCCAAAACCTCGGTGGAATAGTACATGCCCGTGAAGTATCCTGTTGTATTTTATGACGAGTCTTCCTTCAGAGATTAATTTTCACTTTTGTCTATAGTGATGACATTTTTTTTAATGGGAACACTGAGATCTTATGTGGAACGTGCCAGCCTTTATGGTGTCCTTCTAAGTGGTGTTCTGCTTGTAGTCCTTCAAATCCCACCTTGCTAATATATCTAGGAAGAGAAAAGTTCAAATAGTAATTTATTCCTAAGGAGAACAGAAATAATTGACATTAATGATACTTGCATGTCAGTCATTTCAATAATATACATTTACATCATCGGGGAGATGACTGGAAAGTCATGTGCAGGTGGTGTTATCTTTCTAATTTCACTCTACCCACCAGTAAGAATTGTCAGGATTGATGGAGTTTTATCGCTTCTGTCTTCCTTGTACAAGGCCAATTTACCAGTAGTTGACAGGGTGGAAAATATACCTGTAATTAAACAGCATGAGATTCTTATTTGTTGACTGAAAGAGTTCAATTATTTTATGCATATATCAGTTATTAATGACTAACAAAGCTTGTATAAATATTCAGAACTCTGAAATTGTCTGAAACAAAAAAATATCTTTCATATATTTTCTTCTTAACCTAGATTTCACTCTATAAATTGGCTCTCTTGACATAAAGTTCCTCTGAGTGGTTTTTTTCCTTTTTATTTTGTTTTTTAAAACTCCATTTCATTTAAATATACTGACAGGGCAGTCACTTCAATTGCAGAGATGTTACTTGTAAATAGCTCCTTTTTAAAGCCTAGATATAAAAAAAAGCATGTAAATTCCATTGAAGAAAATTAATTATTGGAATACATTTAAAATTATACATATTTCTTCTTAGTCCTTTAAATGGATTTTCTTTAGAATTATTCTCTCTGTTGTTAAACATGATGTATAATTAAATCATATAAATTTCCACATGGAAGAAAAGCCATCAGACTTTTCGTGTTTTTTTTTTTTTTTTGTAGCCAGACATCAGCTACATTGTGATTTAAGAAATAATGTCTTCTGTTCCTTTATTGCAGCTTTCAAGTCTAGATGATAGACGGGGCAGTCGGCCACGGTCTATGGTGAGGTCCTTCACGATGCCATCATCTTCAAGACCCCTCTCCGTTGCGTCGGTGTCTTCCATCTCCTCCGACAGCACACCTTCTCGACCGGGCTCGGATGGGTGCGTAAGGAATAGTCATTCAGGGCTTATCTCTGAAAACCATGATTTGGCGTGTAGATCTATAGGTTTTGATCTCAATGCTTTCACGGTGTTACTCCTTGTGATCCTAGTGACTCCTCCTGTGTGGCAGCGTGACGTTTGTTTGATCTCATAAGGAACTGTGGGGTTTTTTTGTTTGGGTCTTTGCCCAGTGTGTTTTATTCCAGATTTGGTTCATCATAATACCCCACAAACATTAATGGGACACAACGATGGGAGTAACTGGTGTGGAGTGGGGATGGCGCTTTTAAGTGATAGCCTAATATCGGCTAAAAAACCCCAACCTGTGTAAACATCTATCTCAAGATACATTCCTTGCCCTTTTTTTTTTTAACCAAGATAAATATAATGCTCTTCTTGGTTTTCTTTTAAAAAAAGTTAAACAAACTCCCCTAAGCATTCAAACAAACCACCCCCCAAAGAAACAGGAGATAAATTATCCCCTTTTAAGGTATTGCAAGTGTAATAGTTCAGAAGTGATCTTCTGCAAAGGCGGTGATGAGACGTGTTCAGCCGGCCCTGTCGCGCTAAACAGGTGGAGCTTGGGAGAAGGAAGGGATTAGCTGACTGCTCAATCATTTCTTCTCACTTTTGCTGCCAGAGGAAAAGCTGCTTATGGCAAGATTGTACTTCAAGACTTATCAAGATATTTCACATGAGAACTAGGAATTCTGTTGATAAGCCCTGTCTCACAGTTGCATCCCTCAAAAGAACAAAATAATCTGTTTTCTTTCTGGGGTTTCCATGCAGCCTCAGAAGTCCCTTCTCCCTCTTCCTCCCCCCAGGCATTCCTATAATCCAGAAACTCAGTGTTCGACCAAGGTGGCAGTTCTTTAGAGCCTCCTGCAGGGCTGCTGACTTAGAGACATCTGCTAGAGATGTTCGTGTCCCTTGTGCACCTTCAGAGCAAGCTACTACCTGACTAAAGAGTAAAAGTGTCGAGTAAAATTAAATACAGCATCTAAGGACCAACATGATCCTCACCTTGATTACAAGCAGTTTATTTACCCATTGGGAAGAACTGCAAACAGAGCGCAATTCAGCTCTCGTTACGTTACCCTCTGGAACGTATACATGGGGAGTCATGTTGATATAAATGTAGGACAGCAGAGATGATAATGTGTTTTGACTATTTCATCCACAAAAGTTGTCTTGCTGGAACTTGGGGATAACTACCAGCCCAGGTTACTGGGCAACTTTTATCTCAGAAGAAAAATATTGATTCTTTCCCTGCCTGCATCTACCTCTTTCTCATTTTCCCTTCAAAATCATTCTGTGTCTTTTTCTTTCTCATTGGATGCTCTTTTCTTAAATTTCACTTCTCTATCCCAGCTTTGTAGCAGTAGGTGTCACTTAGCGGTTTCAGAGGATCTCATGAGTCTACTCAGTATGTATATTTAAAAAAAAAACCTCACAAAGATACCATGGTGCAGCTCAGCTCCTGCTCTGAGCCTGGGGCAATACAGCTGTAATACATGTGAGGAAAATATAATGAACAATTATCATCACTGAGAAGACCTGAAAAAAATGTTCATTTGATCAGTGGAGCAGGAGAAGAAAAATCATCAAATGTAAATAACATAATGAAAGACCTCAAAAATGCAACTGTCTGTAAAAATCATGTGGGTGGTTTGTCACTATTAACTTGGAAGAAGTTCACCCATGTACCTACCATAGTTGATTGAGTTTATGGTCAGTTGTCCTCTCCTGCTTCCCATTTCCACCCTCTTCATATGTTAATGCTGAGATTACAGATGGAACTAAAAAAAAACAATTAAAAATGGAGTCAACAGACTGTCTTACCCGAATCACCCAACTTATATTTTATGCCATCTCCAGCTTCTGCTGCTTTGGAGCTTTTAAACAGTAAAAACTCAAAGCAGACGTTGACATAGTATGTGTTTTACAACTCCCAACTCTATGTATAAATAAAACTCTGACTTTAAAAAAGGACCTTGGGTTTATTCACTGCTTAAAATGGGACTTAGAAGTACAAATCTGAGCACTTACAAGCAGTGGTTGGAAGCGAGGAAGTCCCGGTGTGCCTGTGTGATCTGCCGTCTGTTGCAAGTCCTAATGTACTTCAAGTAGAAGCACGGCGTGCTAGCCCGTTTTATCTCCGATACGTTGCGTACAAATAATTAATAGTACTAATAATAGTAATGCCTGGAAGGGAAGCAATTAATCATTGTCTGAAGAATGGCAATTCCTCTTGTAAAGAATCAGCCTGGCAGAAGCAGCCAAAACACACAATTCAGGTGGCTAAAACTGTCTCCTGGTGTGGGCTTTGTCACTGATGCGCTTCGTGGCCCTAGGCAAGTCCTTGCCCTCCCTTATCCCGGTCTGTAAAATGGGATGAAAAAAGCTCGTGGTTTTGTCTCCCAACACGTGTGATTTTGGCTTTGGTTATGAGGGTCGTGGCTCAGGGGCCACTGCCGTGGGTACTGGTTTGAGCATCTTTCCATCAAATGAGCTAATTCAGGCTGAAAACTAAAGGGCCTTTAGTGCTTCAAACAACAACAAAAATTTTGGATATTGCTGCTGGATATTGCTGCTAATGGCGGTGATTAGGATAACTTCACTGCAGATTGTCTGAAATCTGAACCCTCCAGTCTTTCGCACCAAAGACTGTGGCCTGTACATCCATACAGCACCGTGGCATAGTAAATACTTTTCCAATGTTAAAAAGCTGGTTTCATTTGTTTGGGGTTTTTTTTGGTTTGGTTTTGTAATGTAATGATTTGAGATATCCTCTTAAAATCTGTCAGTGTAATTTTAATTAGCGTATGATTTTAGGAGTTTGTGCAGTTTATTATATAAAATAAATTATAAAATACTTTGTCTAGCTAAGAATGTTTTAGCTTGTTAAGAGAAAAATATCTCTTTTTTTTATTGAAACTAGTCATTGAAAAAAGGTGAGATAAGAGAGATAACTGAGTAAAAATTACCTAAAAGTAGTTCCAATATTACTTAGAGTAGTGCTTTCTTTTTTTTAAAGTAAAAACTCTTAAAAAAATGAACTTTTACTTTAAATGTTCATTGAACCCCTAAAGATTTTTTTCCTTTGTAGCCAGAAAAAAATTAGTCATGAACTGTAAAATTTGCAGAGCTGATGGTAGTGGTATATCAGCCTTGCCTATATTCACACGCTTGTAAGCATTCCAGGTGGGAAAATACATCTGCTTTTTGGACACTAACCTTGCCTTTCGTTATTGTCTGACCGATTTTTCATTCTTGAGTTTATCTGTAATAACAGCACAAGCAAACTCAGCCCTCCTGGCTCTGCTGTGCCCTCCTGGCATGCTGTAGGCGAGCAGAGGATCTGTGAGGAGATGTGTGCACACTCGTATGGAGGTGGATATCCTCGTGCACGCACACAAAGCCAAACATATGCACACAGTGTTATGGACAGGAATGGTGCTTGTGTCTGTGGTTAAACCTCTATACCTCATGCTTTTGTGCAATGTATAGGCGTTTCCTTTGCATTAGGGGTGATTTTGTTTGCTTCTCTGTGAAAAGGTACCGTCATTTTGATGAGTTACAAGGATTAGAAAGTGTTTTGCATATTCAAAAGCAAATCACTACACCTCTGCACAATTTCTCAACTCTTATTCCTTCTCTGGGGAATAAATACATCCTCTTTCTCTACCAAGAAAAAAAAAAAAAAAATGTCCAGGAGGAATCTGGGGACTTGGTTACTTTTTAAAGAAATCCTTCAAGCCATTGCAGACATACGGACTGCCTCCGAGGTGCAGGGGAGGTAGGGGTGACGTTTCTTTAATGCATTGTACGGTACCTGCACTCGTACGGTGCTGATTTCCAGGGGAGTTTCCAGGCGTCTGCTGGCACGCCTGCCGTGGTGCCCCAGCGTATACAGTGGGAGTGCGGAATGAGAAACTCATTCCTATGTAAACCACATACAGTGAAACTCGGGAGTTTGTGTAGCTGTAAACCGGTAAATTTACTACAGAGCAGTAGAATGTGCAGTACTGGTTCTTCAGCAGTTCTGCAGTAAATTTTATTGTAAGACAATTATGATCGTTATGACCTTGTGCCCCCTCTTTTTCTCTCTAATGAGTTTTCCTGGATTACCAAAGCATCGTTAACTCAAGTGAGACTTTGGGAAATATGTAAATGAAAATTAGGTGTTTCGAAAATAGTATTTTATTAATCTAAGTGACAACAATTTTCTTTAGGTTTGTGCTGGAGCCCCTCCTGCCAAAAAAGATGCATTCTAGGTCTCAAGATAAATTGGACAAGGATGACCTAGATAAAGATAAGAAAGAAAAGAAGAAGGAGAAAAGGAACAGCAAGCATCAGGAGATATTTGATAAAGAATTTAAATCTACTGATATTTCTCTGCAGCAGTCTGAAGCAGTGATCCTTTCAGAAACGGTAACTTTATTAGCAAGTAATGCTTTATCTAATTCTGAGCAGTGTTCTTTCTCTTTTTAAATAAAAATGTTGATTTTTACATTTTGGTTTATTTTTAGACCAAAGATAACTCTAAAGGAATACACCACGATATTAGTATGTGATAATGAATCAAAAATACAGATTTTATTTACAGTGAAAAAAAATCATCTTATCTCATATGAAAATCTTACCAAAAGCTGTATATGACTATTTGATAAAAGGAACAGATGGTACATCCTAAGTAAAATAAATGCTAGCATTTTAGCAGCCTTTTGAATTTATGGTTCCCAATAGATGGTGATGGGTTTCCTCATATTTCAGCTGACTATTGCAATATACTTTTTGGTGGAAATGTTACAAGGTCATTTCGTGCATGGCAATTACGTATTCTTGAAAGGCTATTTTGAGCAGAAAATCGTAAGCAGTTTCACTAGTGGCTGTGTGTAAGAATATTAACTACAGGGCATATCTCTTGTAAGCCCTCTCTTCTTGGCGTATATTTAATTCACTGAAACCGTCCTAAAGGCTTAGGTAACTTCGGAAGTTATAGCTCTGAAATTGAAAGCAAGGCCATTTTAGGCTGGAGCAGGGAGTGCGTGAACTAGCTGTAACCTCTAAATCTCTGCTTGGACACCTGTTTTGAGGCCAATAGTTTAAAACTTGTCCTCCAGAAATAAATATAATGTTCTTTTAGAGATTTGCACAAGTACTTGTAGAGCCAGCTTTCAACTCAGCAGTGTCTTTCGTCGGTGGCTGTGTCATTTGCATTGGACTCTCGAAACGATTTCTCTCTGACTTGCAATGACTAGGTCCTTTAAGTCTTTCTGTTTGGTATTTGTAGCAGAATGTTCAGCCATAGTTCCTCTGTTTTCTGGATTTGCTCCTCCTTTTCCATCCAGAGATGAGCTAATCTCTCTGATGTGTCTTCTGACATCTTGGAAGATCGGACTTGGTTTGTCTGATGTGGCCATAGGCCCAGTATTAGCTCAGCAAAAAGTTGATATAGAATCCCTTTTGTGCATCTCAGGCTTTTCACCCAAACTCTTCTGAAACCAGTGAGTTTTTCCATTGACTTCAGTAAATTTTGGATCAGCTCTGGTTTATTTAAATGGAGATTCCTCCTACCAAAGCCAGCCAGGTGAGCATCATTAGAGTGTTTTCAGACAGAAAATACATTTTGCATAGATTTCCACGTCTCATCTTTTTGATGCAATGCATTCAACTCTGCACATTGCAGCAGCCATATTTTGACTAAGCCTGAACATTGCAATGTCAAGACTTGCACTCGCATCTCCCAGATCTCCAAAAGGACTAGCAGAGCTTGTGGGAGAAGAGCATTAGCCACAGGAGAAACTTGTATTTCAGGGCAGCTCAGTCAGCTGGACTTGCACAAATCCATGAGACCAGATGGGAGGCGCCCAAGGATGCTGGAGAGCTGGTTGATGTCACTGGAAGGTCACTGTCATCTCTGAGAGGTCTTGGATATTGGAGAAGATTGCTTATGACTGGAAAAATGCAAATGCTGGCTGGAAAGGAGGACACGATAACCCTTCAAGGCATATTCCCATTGGTCATCTGAAGAACAAAAATGAGCCAAGCCCAACATTCTCTGACTCAAGTTTTCCACTCTTCCCAGTCAAGAGCTTTCAGTGGATGACTGGTACGACTAATTTTTCTCCTGATTATAGAGAGGGAGGCAATTAAACGTCAGAATTAGTTAGTTACTTTGAGCTTCTTGAAATCCACAGATCAATAATATGAAAAGGGATTTACTGGTGAGAGGAAAACTCTCCTTTTTCAGTACCTGCAAACTACTTCCTGAGCTCCAAAATAACCAAGTCAATTTTTAATGCTTGGTGTTAGCGTGGTTCATTTTCTCTTGTAGGTGAAATAGAGGAAACACTTTCGAGATCAGTTTACAAGAGTGGTTGTAAAATTCCCACTGCTGCCTTCAGGAATTTTGTACAGATAATGTCAAGCAGTTTAAAGATGAAATTTGTCTTAAATTTTTTTCCACTCTGGAGACATATGTCCCTTATTAATGATATAAAAGGGAAATTGTTACCTTTTGTGGGTAAGAATTCAGCTTTTCCATTGTTTGTGGGCTGCACTGTGTGCAAGTTCCCCTTTTAAGTTGAAATTGCTTCCAAAGCACTGTTACTGCTGTGTTTTATGAAGAAAAAGGAGTTTTGATTTATCTTGCCTTAGGATCTTGGAAGCAGAAAGTTTGCAGGCTTAAAAAAAAAGATGATGATGAAATGGAGGGGGGGGGAAATTAAGAATTGGTTTTTTTCCAAAAAAAAATTTGAATCCAGATTTGAATAGAAATGGAAATTAAAATAGAGATTTAAAGAGTTTTAAAGTGAGATTTTATTAATAAACTATTATTAGTTACTGGATTTTGTATTATAGTTACTGGATTCCTTCTGTTCAGAATTTTGGAACTCACTTGTACCATCGCTAATTCACTTAGAAGAGTTCAGTTATTTGGTGAATATTCTAATGGATTCTTAGTTCTGACTTCTAAAATACTTGGGGATTTTACAGCAGAAGACATGCTTTTCTTTAGTACGATAGCAATTTATAAGTACCTTCAAGAAAAGGGATGAAAGAATAACAGCCAGCTTGCATTTGTCAACACCAGATCAGTCAAGCTCTTCTTCCTTCTTCGTGCGGCAGAGAGGGAGGCTCTGTGGGTAGGAATGATGTGGCAGGTTCCCGATGTGCTGACTTCAATGTGACATCTGGCACATCTCACACGATGTTCTCACGAGCAAGACTGGGCGATGAAGGTGATGCTGAAGGATACATAGCAGCCTGGAAAAACTGCGCTCAATATTGCCGCAGGTGAGACGGAGTAAATGAGAGCCTGTGATGGATTTGGATAGTGGGCTATATCAAAATAATCTACGTGCGAAGCACAGCGCCTGCTCAGCCTCTTAATTGCTGGCTCTGTCTCATGTGTATTTAGTAACAGGAGGGTTCGGTGTGTCTCACTTCTGTTTCATCCGGGTGTCATTGCAGTTTACAACCAGCCCATCCCAGTTGTAGCTGGCAAATAGCAGGCTTCTGCTCGACAGTTGCAAAGTCCAGTTTCAGATATTCGCCCCACACACATACTCACACACAATTCTCTGTTGCCTGACAACACTCGGATTAAATTATTCTTCACCCACAACAAATAGGTAGTTATCTGTGGTTTGCTTTCAGGAGGGAAAGATGCATCAATAACCTTATATACGAATCTGTTCTGGATCCTGTGTTATTGGCTACTAATTGGTTTGTGCAACGTAATTGTAAGCACGATATCAAATTTACAGAGAATATCAAGCGAGAGGCGCAGCAGGCATGTCAGACAGCGGTCATTCTCATCTCTGCAGAGCTTCTGCTGCGCTTAAAGATGAAATGCCTAATGAAATGAGTGTTTCTGTCACTGCAGTGGACTTTCTTATATAGGAACTTCTTTTTTTCCAAACAAATACATCTTCATGGAAGAACATGGGAAAACTATAAAACTGCAGAATTATTTCATGGAGCTTTTACATTTTCCTTAAAAAGGAGCATTCAGAGGCTGTTTTGTCTAGTTGTACCAGACAAATACTTTTTTCCAAATTTCACTGTACTCAAAGTATTGACTGATCAAAACCCAAGCCCTAATTACAGAGATGTTGTACTACTATGAGCTTATCAGAAGATAAATTAAGCACTTTGGTATGTGAAGATGATCAGTAATGTCTTTATAGTTTTCTAGCGATTTATGTCTTCTTTTAAGTATCACATAAACTTCTTTAACATAAGTTCTCATTGCTAGTTCTTTGATTCCATGAGCTGATAGCAAACCTAACGCTGAAGCCAGGTAGTTAACAGACCACTTGAAAGCTTGTGTAGGAAATCAGAATAACAGGCTGTACGTTTTATTGATTTAGTGGCATCTAACATCGTCATTCATTATTGCTCTTGCTTTCGTTAGACCAAAAAAAATTAGCAATGGGTTCATTATGGATTAATGGTCTCCAAAGAGTTCATATTCCCTAGCAGAACCATGATTTATATGAAGCTTTAAGAAGAACATCAAGCTTGTCAATCATAGAAGAAGTTAAAATTTATTTGAGATAAGTAGCTACAGACCAGGTTAACTTATGAACTTAATTCTAGTTGTTGTTTTTTCTCTTGATACTGGCACTGCAGCTTTCCTAATCAATGAGTATATTTTCCTTAGTTGCTTTTTTATAATTATATACCTCTGAGAAAGTGATTATTGTGCTACTAAAAATACGCTTTAAAAGATCTTGAAAGAAGAAAACTTTGCAGTCTTTAGGACTTGAATTTTACCATCAGGCTAATTTCTGAAAGGTTACCCTGAGGTATTGATGAACTTTCAAAAAGATGTTCCATACTTCATGGTCGTTCATTTCTCACAGAAGGGTCTCAGACACATGGCCTTTTATGCAAACCCTTCTAAGGTTTGTTTTCTGAAAATACAAGGAAACACTCATACCTCATTTTAGATTTCTCCTTGACAACATAGTATGTAAAAAAAAATCGTGAAATGACAAAATTCTGAAAAAAAGCATGAATTTCTGTTCGCATTTTCTGGTTTGTCCTAATGCAGCGCCTTGGATGTAATTGCCCTTAAACTTCAGGCTGCTGCTCCATTTTCTGTGTTTTCCTGGAAGTAAAAAATTCCTTTCTTTACTGCAATTAATGGAAATATGGGGAGTCACTGGATGGGTAACAAACAGTAGAGTTCAGAATTAAACTCAGTAAAAGGAATCACCTCAACAAAAGCATTAGTTGCCCATCGGATTACAAGTATCATTTCAGGGTTTCTGATGGAAAACTTAAATGGCCTATCAAGCAGCCAGAGCAAAACAATAGGATATTTCAGTAAGTTAAATATAAACACGAACATGCACCATCAAGAAGGTGTTTCTGGACAGATGATGTCTTCCTCAGAAGAGAGTTTGACCATGCAAGCAATTAAAGAAGTAAATTGTGAAAGGGAAGTAGAGCCATGTGAGAATAAAGAACGTCTGCCACTCAGTTACAACGTGTGTTCCTTCACTCTCTCACTGGTTTTGTCCCTGTGCAGATCAGCCCACTGAGACCACAGAGACCAAAAAGCCAAGTCATAAACGTCATTTCAAGTGAAAGACGTTTCTCCGTCTCTCCATCGTCTCCCAGCTCCCAAGCGACGCCACCACCAATTACACCACGGACAAAACTTTCCTTCGGCATCCAGTCCAGTAAGTCTTTAATTTTAACTGAATTTTCTTTTCGTAGCAAATTTTATGCAAAATAACTTCTAGTGGGGAGATATGTTTCGCGAGCGTTGTATTACACCTTGGTTTGAGTACTTTGAGTTGTCTTTTGCCATCACCACGGGATTGCTTGCAGGAACAAGAACTTACCTCTTAACATCATGCTCCCTGTATTTGCCAGCAAAAAATATTTCAACACTGTACAACAGCAAGCAAAATTATTGCATTGAAAAAAGTTTATTTTCCTTTTCAAGTAATCATTAGCAATTCTTTAGGTATAGAGTAACTGTCAAAAATTAGTGTTGTACTTGATTCTATATTGGATTTAGGGTATTTCGGAGCATAAAGACTGAAAAACAATCTTTTGATGTAATTATACATTAAAAGAACTTTTATTTGCTACATAGTGAGTACAAGTTAGAAAGGAAAAAAAAGTCGGTCTTTTTGATGTATTTTTTGTTTGACATCATTGACATCTATCACTCTTTTTTTTCTGTAAAATATCATCTATTTGCTTCAGTCTTCAGGAAACCTTTTTGCAAAACTGGGTGTAATACAACACCCATTTGTTTTACAGTGCTGTTTTCCAAAAACTGATATTCAGAGTTTTCAGTTGCGAGCATGAGACACACAAAAAAAAGATCTTTTTGATACATGTACCCAAATTCTAGTACAATAATCAAGAGTTCATTGTTAGTAAAGGGGAGAATAGATGATCAGTTTTAAGAAAAAAAACTTGTTCAATCAAGGTCACTTTGTTTTATTATTTTTTTTTGATACTCAAAACCTTCTCCCTTAAATAGTGTTTTGGAAAGTTCTTGTTGCCAATGGCAGATACATGTCTTGTGAGCAGGAAAGTGTTTCTTCTACAATAGAATTGTCTTCTAAAAGGCACGTGACTTTGTTTTAATGATTTGACATGGTTGATTGCAAACACGTGGAAGAGGGATAAGCAAGTGCAAGTCAGTGCAGTGTATCTTTTGCATGGCCAGACACCCAAAACAGGTATTTTGATAGCTGTGAACTTTACAGTTTTGATAGCCAAAAATGACCAGTAATCTAAAAACTGGAAATACAGAGGAGTATATGTACTCCTGCAAAAATATTCTTTGAGTTGGATTATTTCTTCCTGTATACATTTTATTAAAGCTGACTTGATCTCTGTTTTAAAAAAGAATCTGAAACTATCATGTATTTCAGACAATATTTATGTCTTCATGCGGGAGATTCATGGGTGTTATGGAAAATAGATTCAGCTTATTCCAAAATCCGTGGGATTTGTCCATGTTCATTTGAGGAATTGTAGTGATAATTTTTTTTAGGAATTCCAAGGATAAAGAAGTTCCTTCAGTGCACAAATTGGCTAAAAGCAGTTAATGGTTTGCTAAGCAATACTGCTTGCTTGTTAGCTGGCAGTTTAGGAGAATGGAGTGTAAAATTTGGTCATTAGGTTAAGATGAAAAAAAAATCATCTAACTGATCTTTTGCCAGCTCAAAGATATTCTTAGTGGCACATGTCCAAGGAATAAACACTCAGACCATACTAGTCTGATAAAACACCTTGAATAATGATAGCAAACCAGAAATGATGAGTAATTATTTGTATAGTGGCTGAGTTAGTGAAGTATATTTCAGCTGAACTGAGCAGGGGAAAATTAATAGATCTGTAGCAAATAGAAGTGCTACTGAAAATTACTGAAGTTTGTGTTTGCTGCCTGTTTTTGCAGTAGGGTAGATGACTCCTGGTTTTCATTAAATTTCGTAAGAGATTAGTTTGGCAGGGCAAATAACTTTTTTCATTGTAGAAAGTTGTTGTTCTACTAAATAGTTTGCCAGACTGAATGTAAATATGTTGTTAATGTATATTACAAACTATTCACAATGGATGGAAATACTCTGTCCACATTTACAGGATTTATTGCTGTCTTGCCAAAGGATGAGGTTGTGAAAGTGCCACCTACAGGCTGTAGGAACACGGTGCAAAAAAAATGAGAGCTGTAACAGGAGGTGGGGAATGTAGAGAAAGGGACAGAAGCAGGGCAGGACACAGCTGCACGGGCAGTTCGTGACCTTCCAGGTTGTTTAGAGTGTCGCAGACCTTAAAATAGAGTTGCTTCCAGATGTTTCCTCTGCAGCTCTAGTGAAAACATCGCTCACCTGCCTTTCCATGGACCTTCCAAATGTCAACCTTAAACAAAGGGTTTGTGTAACTCCAAACAAAATTTGTCTTACCGTCATCTTCTTGGTAGCACCTGCTAGTCTACATGTAATGGCTTAGTAGCCATTACTAGATGCTGTAATACCATGTAAGATACAAGGATGAAGTGTTCAGGGAGGGTAAATTCAGCTACTACAAGGTTGTAAGACTAAATTTCTAATGTTTTATCTAGGAACTTCCTGGTTCATTTGCAGCATCAGTGTTTAGTTACAAATGGTTTCCAGTTACATGGATTAATGACATGAGCTTAGCAGAAGTAGATTCTGATGGAGATATTTAAAAGATAGTGCTGTGAATGTTTGGGGAATGGAGAAATCCTGTATGGGTAGAAGAAGAAGGATGAAAAACAGGAGCAATGGAAGAAGCAATGAGAAATTCAGTCCTTGAGGACAAACAACGCTTTTCAGTCTGATGTAGAAGAAACCACTGAAAGTTTGAAGTCCCAGGATGGAAAATAATCTTCTTCCTGGCATAGTTGCAAGTTCAAGTGAAAGGATGAAGAGTAAAATTACAGTTTTCAGTGACAAATCAATACAGCCACCTTACAGTTAAATTGTGTTAGTGAGAGGCCATTTTAGAAAACAATAAAAGGACACTTGTTGTAAGATATTGATAGGAACCTTGCAATAAAAATAATCTGCATAAACACATCCTCCACTTGTTTCACAAAGCACCCCAGTAAAATAAAAATAACCTTTTTTTCATTTCGTAAATGAAAACACTTCCCTAATTTATCAAAAATAAATTAAGTTTCTTATCTCGTAGAGCTCACAGTGGGTTTTGCCTGTGTTAAAATGACTGAATTACTCTGAAATACACCGTGGGTGGATTTCTACACAAAAACCTATGTATCACTCAGGCCTCAATAAACTTTATTGTCCCTCAGGCTATTCGCCTTTGCAGCACGTACCTGCTAGGATTTATCTGCTAAGAAAAGGGAACTTTCTACCCAGCAAACAGTAATAATAAATGTTTTGTACTTTCTCTTGCGTGATTTTATTTACTCAACAACTAATGACTGCTCATTTATTATAGTTACCTGGAGTTTGAAAGTTTTTGAAAGAGATGTAGTTAATTATAGGCTTTCATTTGTGCATTTCATTAAAAAGGAGCTTTTATGTTACTGGGAGAAAGTAAACGAAGCTTAGCTTGATTGTATTTCCTTGGTGCACTTACCAAAACTTCTGTTGCGTATTAAAGTACAAGGTGAAAATGCAGAGCTTACAGCTGAGAAAATTATATTTGCTAAAGTATGAATATTTTGGTGTGAAATCTGAAGGAAGAGGTGTTTTCTATTAAAAAGAGAGGATTGCTCAAGTATTTTGAATGTATCCTAAAAATTAGCCCAACGTGACTCCACTGTGCATCCTTCCCGTCGATGCGGGGGGTGGGTCCATTTGTTCTACTTTCCTTTAAAATCCCTCATTAGATGAGCTGCAGATAGTTATAGAGGCAGGGAAGGGCAGACAGATACCGCATGTGCGGCGTTATCGCAGTATCAATGCCATAAGAATTGGCGCCATCTGGATCTTTGGATCCGATTCAGTTATTGAAAGATTTAACTCAGTGTTGATTTTTTACAGATCTGGAGCTGAATGGTATGTCCAGCTCCGACATCCCCGACGTTCCTCCTCCTCTGCCTCTCAAAGGAAGCATGGCCGATTATGGGAACCTCATGGAAAGTCAAGACTTGATCAGCCCGGCGACCTCCCCCCCTGCCCATCAAAGGGTGAGTCCCAGACACGACGATCGTTTTCTGCTATTTTAATTTGCTTTTGTACTTCGCACGACCCACAGCGAGATATAATCCAGAGATTTCTGCAGTGGCAAACCAGTGTCTGGAGCGTGAAGGAATGGCATCGCTCACGGGGGCTGACCCGAAGGGAGGTTGGATTCATTCTGGCGGAGGAGACTAAGCACGATGTTGTTAGCTGTGTTGGTAAGGGAGCTTAAACCGACAGGATATAGTCTCAGCAGCAAATTAGATTTAATAGCCTTTCAATCCTGTCTCAGGAAAGGGAATAAAACATGTACCTGACATCTTTCCTTTCTGGAGCGCCGTTCTGTCAACATTCAATCGCCACTTGTTTCCCAGAGGCACACAGACCTGCCCCCTTTGAGGGAAGGAGCTCAGAAACACTCTTCATCATCAACAGGGTTTTCAGCTCTCTGAAGAAAACACACTTTTTCAACTTTTGTTTCCTGTATCCTGTAAGCTTTTAAAAATAATTTGGTCCTTTTCTTTAAAGCAACACTTTTGAGAAGGGCCATTTATTTTCTTTTTGAAGAAAAAAAATATGTTTAAAGAGGTTTTCTTTTCTTTGGCTTTGAAATGCAGAACTTTGGCAAAGCTGTTATTTTGTGGAAAAATTCTCAGCAGTAATGATTCTTTTTTGTTTGCAGAGGTATCTTCCAGGATTTCTCTGAAGTTCATCATTCAAATGAAATTCTGTTGAGTAATTTGTTTTTCAGTAAATTCCATGGTTAGAGAAAGCATTTCTAATCTCAGCAGAGAAAGAGTCAGGCAGGAATTTAGTTTTCACTCTGGGAATAGTTTTGTTTAACACAGGCTGTCACCGTGCACAACAGTACACAAGTCTGGCTTTTTCCATGGTTGAAATCGTAACTGTGTTGTTGCGGGGATTTAGTATTTTCAGGCTAAATGAGGGGGGAAAAAAACCCCCAAAACAGACAAAGGAGTAACTTCAGGAATGTGAGTAGTGTGATTCAAAACACAATGTTTTATTCATTATATGCATATATTGAAAAATTCTCTATTCCCACCATCCTTTCCATAGTTCTTCCTCATGGCTGGATGGTTTAAGTGAATATTTTCATGACTTTTTATTTGTGAACATTTTTCCTCTAATTTCCATCAAAGTGTACTAAGCTCTTACCCATTTCCCTAGCTTCTCTCTCAGGGGCCAGCTCTCACTTGACCTGAAAACAGACCTCTAAGTGGAAAATTACAGAATGTAGAGAAGGGCTGCCAGGAGTTTTGTCCAAGGAATCTATCTTTATGAAAAAAACTGAGAAATTCAAATTAAGTTTCAAATTTCTTGAGCTCCTTTCTGCATGAGCTCCAGAGTAGTAAATTCATTTTGTATGATATACTGTAATTTTTAGGTCATGGTAATAGCTCAGGACTGTTAACATGAGTTCAATTTTTAGCTAAAAAGCATTAAACAATGAGATGATAAAACACACGGTGAGGAATAAAAAAATCCCAATAGCTGGGTTCTTTTTCCATTCCTTGCGAGGCTGTTTGAAGGGGTTTCCGCTCAGTGGACAAATGCTAGATATTTACTGTGCTACTTGGAAGTGCCATCACGCTGTAATGGTTGGAGCCCAGACCTGAAGACGACTCAGGTTCCAGTGTCGGTCTCGTTGCCGTCATGACCTTGCGCAGCTCCCATACCTGTCATGAGCAGGGTTTCTGCATCATTAAATGGAAGTTCATAAAAAATAGTAGCAATATCCTCGCTTGGATTTTTTTGCAAAGTTTTCCTCAGGTCTTAGTATTTTTTCTCTTTCCAGTCTTCACTACTCAGAGTCATTTATTTATTTTAAATATATTTTGTAATTGTAAAAATGGGCTCCATTGTTCAACATTAAGTGTTACAGGAGCTCAGGATGTAAGCATACCTTAGAAATGCGATCAAATATAATCAAAATTTTCTTCAGCATTGTATTTTTACAAATTTTACAAGTGTGGTGGGTTGACCCTGGCTGGGGGCAAGGTGCCCCCCAGAGCCGCTCTATCACTCCCCTCGTTCACAAGACAGGGGAGAAAAAGTACAACGAAAAGCTTGTGGGTCGAGATAAGGACAGGGAGAGCTCACTCACTAATTATCGTCACGAGCAAAACAGATCGAACTTAGAGAGGGAATTCATCTAATTTATTACTAAGCAAAACAGAGTAGAGGAATGAGAAATAAAACCAAATCTTAAAACACCTCCCCCCACCCCTCC